ATGGCGCACTGTCGGTGGGCGATGGAAGCTTCCTGTACCCCCCGGCATGCGGAGTCCTCCTGTGTGCGACGCCACCCTCGCAGATGGTGGTACCTCCCCATGTGGGGGAGGGGCAGTGATCGGAGCGCAGGGAGCGCTCACCTTGCCGCTCCTCCGCCCAAGTATTGCCCCCGTTACAGATTCATGCTGCAAGCCCCACTTCCTCCTCCGATGGCAGAACGTAGATGAGGAGAAGGCATTGGAGTGCAGCGCCACCTGGTGGCTGATCACGGGGGGTGGGGGGGGCGTCTATTTATAAAAGCGGACGGCAGGGCAAAATAAAAAACATAAATACCCCCCTTAAGGGACCCCACAACACAGACGAATACCCCCCGATCTGCCGGAAATGCTCGCTGCTCCCTGAGTCCCATGCTGGACTGACAACAAGCAGCTCCTTATAGAGAGGTGTCAGCCCTGCCCATTTGTCTTTTGCTGAAGTACTGAATCGCTCCTCATCTCCTCAAGAGAAGACCTGGGAGGGCTAATAAGACCCCCTGAGAGGCCGCACCCTATCCCCTGGTCACTCCTCTATTGTCCCCCTTTATGCTCCCTCGTCACTCCTCTATTGTCCCCCTTTATCCCCCCTGGTCACTCCTCTATTGTCCCCCTTTATCCTCCCTTGTCACTCCTCTATTGTCCCCCTTTATCCCCCCTGGTCACTCCTCTATTGTCCCCCTTTATCCTCCCTTGTCACTCCTCTATTGTCCCCCTTTATCCCCCCTGGTCACTCCTCTATTGTCCCCCTTTATCCTCCCTTGTCACTCCTCTATTGTCCCCCTTTATCCCCCCTGGTCACTCCTCTATTGTCCCCCTTTATCCTCCCTTGTCACTCCTCTATTGTCCCCCTTTATCCCCCCTGGTCACTCCTCTATTGTCCCCCTTTATCCTCCCTTGTCACTCCTCTATTGTCCCCCTTTATCCCCCCTGGTCACTCCTCTATTGTCCCCCTTTATCCTCCCTTGTCACTCCTCTATTGTCCCCCTTTATCCCCCCTGGTCACTCCTCTATTGTCCCCCTTTATCCTCCCTTGTCACTCCTCTATTGTCCCCCTTTATCCCCCCTGGTCACTCCTCTATTGTCCCCCTTTATCCTCCCTTGTCACTCCTCTATTGTCCCCCTTTATCCCCCCTGGTCACTCCTCTATTGTCCCCCTTTATCCTCCCTTGTCACTCCTCTATTGTCCCCCTTTATCCCCCCTGGTCACTCCTCTATTGTCCCCCTTTATCCTCCCTTGTCACTCCTCTATTGTCCCCCTTTATCCCCCCTGGTCACTCCTCTATTGTCCCCCTTTATCCTCCCTTGTCACTCCTCTATTGTCCCCCTTTATCCCCCCTGGTCACTCCTCTATTGTCCCCCTTTATCCTCCCTTGTCACTCCTCTATTGTCCCCCTTTATCCCCCCTGGTCACTCCTCTATTGTCCCCCTTTATCCTCCCTTGTCACTCCTCTATTGTCCCCCTTTATCCCCCCTGGTCACTCCTCTATTGTCCCCCTTTATCCTCCCTTGTCACTCCTCTATTGTCCCCCTTTATCCCCCCTGGTCACTCCTCTATTGTCCCCCTTTATCCTCCCTTGTCACTCCTCTATTGTCCCCCTTTATCCCCCCTGGTCACTCCTCTATTGTCCCCCTTTATCCTCCCTTGTCACTCCTCTATTGTCCCCCTTTATCCCCCCTGGTCACTCCTCTATTGTCCCCCTTTATCCTCCCTTGTCACTCCTCTATTGTCCCCCTTTATCCCCCCTGGTCACTCCTCTATTGTCCCCCTTTATCCTCCCTTGTCACTCCTCTATTGTCCCCCTTTATCCCCCCTGGTCACTCCTCTATTGTCCCCCTTTATCCTCCCTTGTCACTCCTCTATTGTCCCCCTTTATCCCCCCTGGTCACTCCTCTATTGTCCCCCTTTATCCTCCCTTGTCACTCCTCTATTGTCCCCCTTTATCCCCCCTGGTCACTCCTCTATTGTCCCCCTTTATCCTCCCTTGTCACTCCTCTATTGTCCCCCTTTATCCCCCCTGGTCACTCCTCTATTGTCCCCCTTTATCCTCCCTTGTCACTCCTCTATTGTCCCCCTTTATCCCCCCTGGTCACTCCTCTATTGTCCCCCTTTATCCTCCCTTGTCACTCCTCTATTGTCCCCCTTTATCCCCCCTGGTCACTCCTCTATTGTCCCCCTTTATCCTCCCTTGTCACTCCTCTATTGTCCCCCTTTATCCCCCCTGGTCACTCCTCTATTGTCCCCCTTTATCCTCCCTTGTCACTCCTCTATTGTCCCCCTTTATCCCCCCTGGTCACTCCTCTATTGTCCCCCTTTATCCTCCCTTGTCACTCCTCTATTGTCCCCCTTTATCCCCCCTGGTCACTCCTCTATTGTCCCCCTTTATCCTCCCTTGTCACTCCTCTATTGTCCCCCTTTATCCCCCCTGGTCACTCCTCTATTGTCCCCCTTTATCCTCCCTTGTCACTCCTCTATTGTCCCCCTTTATCCCCCCTGGTCACTCCTCTATTGTCCCCCTTTATCCTCCCTTGTCACTCCTCTATTGTCCCCCTTTATCCCCCCTGGTCACTCCTCTATTGTCCCCCTTTATCCTCCCTTGTCACTCCTCTATTGTCCCCCTTTATCCCCCCTGGTCACTCCTCTATTGTCCCCCTTTATCCTCCCTTGTCACTCCTCTATTGTCCCCCTTTATCCCCCCTGGTCACTCCTCTATTGTCCCCCTTTATCCTCCCTCGTCACTCCTCAGTTTAGAGATTTATAGAATGTTTGTCTTCTGCAGAGTCCGCCGTCATCCTCCCCAAACACAAGCAGAGGATCCCACTAGACAAAGAGGAGATCATAAAGAAGCTGGAGGTAAGGAGAGGCCTCAGCCATGTCTGTTCAATGGGAAGATGTCCTCCTAGATGTCCTCCTAGATGTCCTCCCAGATGTCCCCATAGATGTCCTCCCAGATGTGCCCATAGATGTACTCCCAGATGTCCCCATAGATGTCCTTCAAGATGTCCCCATAGATGTCCTCCTAGATGTCCCCATAGATGTCCCCATAGATGTCCCCATAGATGTCCTCCCAGATGTCCTCTTAGATGTTCTCCCAGATGTCCCCATAGATGTCCTTCAAGATGTCCATATAGATGTCCTCCTAGATGTCCCCATAGATGTCCTCCCAAATGTCCCCATAGATGTCCTCCATAGATGTCCCCATAGATGTCCCCATAGATGTCCCCATAGATGTCCTCCCAGATGTCCTCCCAGATGTCCCCATAGATGTTCCCCATAGATGTCCCCATAGATGTCCTCCTAGATGTCCCCATAGATGTCCTCCCAGATGTCCCCATAGATGTCCTCCTAGATGTCCCCATAGATGTCCTCCTAGATGTTCCCATAGATGTCCTCTTAGATGTCCACATAGATGTCCCCATAGATGTCCCCATAGATGTCCTCCTAGATGTCCCCATAGATGTCCTCCTAGATGTCCCCATAGATGTCCTCCTAGATGTCCCCATAGATGTCCTC